AAAAAAAGAACGAGAGAAAAAGGAAAAGGAAAGTAACCGTGGTAGCAACTATCTCGGGGCGAAAGTTCGATAGATAGCTATATGTATATCGTGCGACGCGTGAAAGCCGCGCGTCGTAAATCCGTCGACTACCTTAGCGATCAACGATGCACAAGCCCTCTAAGCGTTGTCGTTGCCTTTTGCTGGAAAGACGTGTGGCATGAGCACAACATGCAGAAGATGGTGGCAGGGGACAACACGGTCGCGCTGGTATCGCCTCTAAAACCGGCGACTTCCTACCACTTTCGGGTGCTTGCGGAAAATCACCTTGGAACATCAGCGCCAAGCGACATCCTTCATGTCAGTATCAAACATTTCAGCATATCTCAAAGAGAAAAGAAAAAAAGAAAAAAAAGAAAGAAAGAAAAGAAAAAAAAGAAAGCAATTTTTATCATTTTACGTCACATTATGTTCATCTGTTCGTTTTCGGCTGGAGCACGAACGCCATCGTCGTTTAACTTTCTTATACGTCTCTCTTTCCACTCGGTCCACGCCGACTCCGTTCGATCGAATAAAATACGATCGCATCGACAAAAACCAACGACCCGACAACAGGCCCAAACGGATGGCGAGATCCCCGGCGGACCACCTAGGCACGTTATCGCCGAGCCCTTAGGACCGCAGCAAGTGAAGGTCACCTGGCAACCACCGGATCGATCCCTCTGGAACGGTGAACTTCTCGGATACACCATCAGCTACGCCAATCTCGGGTATCGTTGTCCGCTTACGGCTGTTTAGAATAGTTTCTAGCACACTTCGGGATCGTAGAATTTTGAAAGAGGGGAAGGGACCGGCCTTGTCGAGTCCTCGTCGATTATCGCGGCGTTAACAATGGCCCGACGATCGGTTCGCGTTTCCGCCGCCGCGGATAATTGCCTGGCAATTTTGTTCTCGCGAGCGGACGTTTCGCTTCGCCCTTTTCGTTGCTTTCCCGCATTTACCAAACGTCCAATACAGCTTCGACGACGTTCGCGCTTGCGATTATTCAACCGGGCTTACGAACCCGTTGCACCAATTCCCGATATAACGAGTCTAACTCTATATTAAGGGAAATTAGCGAGCTTCGGCGAGATCTGAAACTTCTTCGAATTCTCGTCTTCAGAGGTTTTCGAAGAACTTCGACAACGTCGGCAAGGACGGGACAGGCTCGAACGATATTTGTCGTTAACCATTCCGAAACGATGGAATTCCTTCACTGTCGAGATTCCATGGATTCTCGATTATAATTCGTGACGAGTCGCGACGGAAACGCGCCCTCTCGTCTGCGAGAAAAGGAAATTTCATATCGACTGGGAAGATATATATATATATATATACATACGGGTGTCAGAAAGAAGTGAAAGGGAAAAGAGGGGAAGTTGGAAGAATCAGAAGACTATTTTTCGCTCCAATTTCCAAGGGGGGGGGGATGGGTTTAAGTATCGCGGAGTTCCGCGCGTTCCTTCTCCCGCGCTTTATCTTTCCGCCTCGAGGAACATCGACCGTGGCTTTATTTCAGGGGGAATGATCAATCGGTGAACATCACCAGAGTGGGAATCACGGGAAACGGGGACGGTTCGTACGATTATAGGCTAACCGGCCTGCGGAAGTACACCCAGTACAGCGTGGTGGTGAAGGCGTTCAATAATAAAGGCGACGGCCCAGGATCTGACCCAGTGACGGTGCAGACCCTCGAAGACGGTGAGCGAACGACATCAAGGTTATTTCCCTTTTATTTTTTGTTTGTCTCTCTTCGTTGCATACTCCCTTCCTTTTCTCCTTTGCTTGTTCTTTCAGTTCTTAGCGTGTGTCTTGTTGTGTACTGATCTTAAGATTAGAATTTTCTTTTTATCGTTCTCATTGTCCCGTTTATCGAGAAGAGTCCGCTTCTCTTGATATCCTTAGTTTCCAATGGATAATATCGATATTTTTGAATTAGAAGGAGCAGGCGAAACTTCACGTTGAGTCCCAAAGTAAACTAGAAGGACAGCTTTGCTAATATAAACTTCATCGATACCGTACCGAACTCGCGGATTCAAATTGCTTGCAAGAGAGAAAGAATATACAAAGTGTATATACCATTTTAATCTGTGAATGCAATCGTCTCCGAAACTGTTCGCCATTAAAAAAATGTTTTTTCTGTTTTGAGAGGGCAGTGATTTGGTACACTTGGTTTGTCTCGTAGACAGACGCGTAATTTTTCACTCTACATCTAAAACTCTAAAAGTTTAAGAGACATTTCTTCGTATGCATTTGTCCTTCCCCGTCTTTTATACGGTAGACTTTATAAAATTAAAGTTATCTGCTAAACTAACAATTTTTTCAATATACATAGGTTAACACCTTTTTAGAGAGAATGATCTGCTGCCTCGATTGGCGTAAAAAAAAAATTACATAATTACACTTGAAAGAATAGTGGTGACCATATCTCACTATCTATCTAGAGGCAAGCTAAGTGTACCAAATTACTGTTCCGAAACCAGGAAAAAATACATTTTGACGAATGGTTTCGGAGAATAATTGCATTTGTAGATTAAAATGGAACACCCTGTGTAATTTCTCATCCCTCTCTTTGCCCCGTGGTTCTCGTGGAATAAAATAGATACGCAAGTAGATGGAGCCACGAATTTCGTTATCCGCAGACTAATTTGAACGTCTCCCTGGCGAACGAGAAATATCTTATTCGGGTATTTTCGAGTTGAAACGAGGGCATTTCCCCCTGCCTCAACGAATCGTGATAAAGGATAATCGGCTGACTCCGAGCAGTTCCCGGATTAATGTACAACAAAATGCGGCGCGTTCTCAGTGGCTGATGAGGCAGGCCGGATGTCCTCCTCGCGCTTCGCCGCGAAAATTAATTTCCACGGGAGCAGTTTACAGCCGGTGAGCCGCGGTAACACGGGCGCGGATGTAAAAAAGATTTGCATGCACGCTACGTCTCGCAAGGCGGAGCTCATTAACTTACGTCCCCATTTTTTATCCCAATGACCTGTTGTTCTAACTTGTTGAGTTCCAACCGTTCCAAGTATCGTGCCGCGCGGTAAAAACAGGGCCGATCCTCGTTTGAAACGATTAAGCAGGCGACAGTCGACGGCGCTAAGAAACTTCCACGAAGCTATTTATTCGTGTTCTCGCCATACCACGAGAATATTTCCAACCAGCTTCACGCCCTACCTTGAATTAAGATCTATGCGATCTTGTTATCCTCCTCTGTCTTTTACTTCCCTCGAGTTCCCGCGTTCAACTACGTTACGGATACAACGCATCCCCTTAAATTGAACTATTAGGAAAATTCTCCGAACTCACGAGTTTGCGAGTTGCAGGTTTAGTTACTAGGTTACCGAAAGCAAACTTCGCCGTTTACTTTTCATTAGAGGAAGCTTGCCGATCTGCGCACCGCCTGTATCGATAAATCCGCGTCATCGAGGTACAATGTTTCCCCGAGATATTATTTTCGAGCGACTAGACGTTATCACTTCTCGATTTTGCCAGACTTTCCTCTGCACGATTCTTGGATGATACTTCAATTTCAACGATAGATGATACGTTCGTACGGTAATAGTAGTTTGAGTTTCGGATGTATTTATTATGCCACTACAAAGAGAATACTGAAAATCTTGCGATAACGTCTGAGAGAAAAGGTAGGCGAGACGCGAAAGAGCATAAATTAACGTTCAAGTTTAAATAAATCGCATTAAAGGCGAATCACGCTCGATTCAATCTTAGACAGAGTATCTGACTAATTCCACAGACTACGGCCTGAAATAAACTTAAAAGCATCTCGTAGTTTCGCGTAGAATCGAATTCTAAAAGGGAATTTTGTAATCTAGCGCTTGTATAATATTTGCCAATATTATTACGTAACAGTTAATTAATTAGCAAATGATGAATACGTTACGTCTACATCCACAGCTACGAGTACAGCTAACTTACTTCCAAAACGTATCAAAGATAACAAAATTTAATAATAATATCGTAAACACCACTTAATATGCAAATATCGAGAACTCGAAGGTTTCCTGGTTCAGTTTAGAAACATCCATCCATCCATCCATCCATCCATACGCTTAACCGAACTTTGCCGCGAGAGTTGAAGTTCAACGACGATCATCCACGATGCATGAAATCTGCCCATCATTCGCGCGATTTCCGTGGTCCGTTCCGCTTGAAACAATGGCGTCGCTTAATTGCGCGGTTTCCTTTGCCAACACTCGAGGAAACGGTCGTGCCACATTTTCCAGCGAAACCGTCAACCGGCGATAATCCCCGGCTACAACTGTGCTACATCTCTATGAAAAAAGAAAAAAGGAAAAAGAAAAAAAAAATGTACAACAGCGTTTTGACCGTTGGATTTCTCCAGAACAAATTTCTCTCTGTCGTAAGTTTCGTCGAGAGCAATCGGAAACGCCGTGCAGTCGCGTTCCATTTTCTCTTCCGAGTTTTTCTCGGTTTTGCAGAGGAGCCTGCATTGTCGCAGCTGGCCATCGAACGAGCTTCCTCGCAAGGGGAAACACCCTCCCCCTTCCGCGTGCCACGAAAACCACGGACGAGAGTGGATGTATTTTCCTTTGTGCGGATTGCACGCGCGCGTGCCGCGCCGCTTTTCCTCGTTTGACACTTGACCCAGTGGAAAAAGATCGCGAGACTCACGCTCTCTTAACGAGAGACAGACGAATCCCTGTGTAGTTCGCGCGGCGTGTATCGTGTACACACAGGTACAAACGATTTTTCGAGTAACGAGCGACGCCGAGAGATCCGATCGATCGATCGATCGATCGATCAGCCTCCCCTCCCGCCGACACCGGGAGTTTCTCGCTTCAAGAAATTGGCACTCGAGGAATTCTACCCTCCCAATCAGGAACGCAGGAAAACAATCCACTCGACACCCGAGTTTACCTCTTCCCTCGCCCGACGAAGTCGTCGAATTTCCTCTCGAAACTGAAAACTCCTAGTCACGCCATTTGCCGCGGCTGTCGGTAACCAGAGTCGCGACTCCGTCGTTTCGCCTCCTCGCTTCGAATTTCCACAGAAACAACCCAGGATACCGATTTTCTCTTCCTCCTGCTCTCTCCCGCTCGTCCCCAGCGTTTCCCACCGTGAAGGTTAATTTTCACCGGTCGTGGTGAACCGCTGCATGCCGAACCTATCTATAGACCACGTACACCATAATGACGTGTACAGTTGTATACAACGACACGAGTACGAGCAGCTTTCGTTGTACCGGGTTACGATTTGACGCAGTTCCAAGCGCCCCACCGCAGAACGTGGCGTGCGCCGCGCTAACCGGTCAGAACATCCAGGTGACCTGGAAACCACCGCCTTCCGACAAAGTTCACGGGGTCGTGCAGGGCTACAAGTTGCTGTACGAGGCGACCAGCGTGGTTCTCGAGCAGCAGGCAGGCAGGGAGACGAAGATCAGCCATGCACTGAGCACCGTGCTACACGGCCTTAGCCCGTACACCAATTACACCGTACAGGTGCTGGCCTACACCAGAGCCGGCGAGGGTGTCGCCAATAGCCCGATTTCCTGCACCACCGAAGAAACTGGTAAACTATTTCCTACATTGCTCTATATATTATTCTCGTGTGTCTGTCTCCTGTTCCGGTGGCACGCAAACGAACAATGGTCGAACCATCGGCAAAGCAAATTTTCGAGTGAAGTTTCTGTTCGAAATAGTCGAGAGTAGGGATAGCTTGCGGGTTCGATCTCTCGATCTTTCGATAGATCAATACGAGTCTACGAGATTCGATCGGTCAGTTTGTCGTTTTGGGATTGAGATTGGGAAGGCTAGCAGGGTGGTTTAGTGGGTGGATCGTAGACGTAAGTCGGCTAGACTCGGGTTGCTGGGATTATTGAAACGTTAATGGGCTGTCGGGCGCTGATGGTCAGCCTCGGTCGAAGGTACTAAAATTATCGAGCTCCTTGAATTAGCCAGCCACGATCGATTTTGATTTTCCGTGAATTAGGTTTACACGAACGACCAACATACACTTCCGGCGTTTCCTTAATCCTTTCACTACGACAGGCGACTATACTCGCTTGTTAGTCCATTTACTGTCACTTACATTTTTTACGAGTGACTATGATCGCGTGCTACTTTTGCACGCTTCGTATCTTGTTCACTATTTACTCTCGTTTCACCATTTCATTTGGTGTTTGGTTTTATTGTTTCTCACAGGCGAAGCAGTTCGTTAATATAAAGAAATATCAAATACATTTCATATTCAGTCTCTCTAAAGCTTCGTCTGAATGCTCGTTCAAGCGGGAGCGTCTCGTGGTGAAAGGGTTAATTCTAAAAACACGAGAAATTGCGTGAACAGCCGGTGCGTCTACTATCGCGGCTAAACTTTCAAAATCACTCCATTTCCATCGAGACTGGCTTCGGTAAATATTCGCGAGCAGCCCCTGCGCGGAATATTTCACCATCGTTTAACCCAAAAGCAGTTGAAGCTGGAGTCCAAAAATTTCTAGCCAAACGCTGGCTCGAACGACAATCACGGCGGTGCGTGCTTTGTACCGGAAGCAGAGGGAGGGGTGGGGGGAGGGGCCACTTGCAGCCGCGAATTCCGGAGAATTCGGCGCGGCTGTTTAACGAGGGGAAACGCGAACGAAAAGAGTCAATGACAGAAAGTTTCGCGGCGCCTTTGAAGTTAACGTCGCGCCGAGTGTGGTTCTCGTTTCCCATTCGACGGTGGGAACTCGACTCGGCAGCTGGTT